CGCTCTTCTTTTTTTTAAAAACCATTTTATTGAGGGCTCATACAATTCTCATCACAATCCATACATACATCAATTGTGTCAAGCACATTTGTATATTTGTTGCCATTATCATTCTCAAAACATTTGTTTTTACTCATTTTTCCCCTACCCCCCCAATGAACCCTTGATAATTTATAAATTATTATTATTTTGTCATGTCTTACACTGTCCTATGTCTCCCTTCACCCACTTTTTTGTTGTCCATCCCCCAGGGAGGGGGTTATCTGTAGATCCTTGTAATTGGTTCCCCCTTTCTGCCGCACCTTCCCTCCACCCTCCAGGTATCGCCACTTTCACCGTTGGTCCTGAAGGGATCATCTGTCCTGGAGTCCCTGTGTTTCCAGTTCGTGTCTGTACCAGTGTACATCCTCTGCTCTAGTCAGATTTGTAAGGTAGAATTGGGATCATGACAGTGGAGGGGAGGAAGCATTTAAGAACTAGAGGAAAGTTGAATGTTTCATTGTTGCTACACTGCACTCTGACTGGCTCATCTCCTTCCCACAACCCTTTTGTAAGGGGACGTCCAGTTGCCTACAGATGGGCTTTGGGTCACAACTCTGCACTCTCCCTCATTTACAATGATATGATTTTTGTTCTTTGATGCCTGATACTTGATCCCTTCAACATCTCATGATCACACCGGCATGTGTGCTTCTTCCATGTGGGCTTTGTTGCTTCTGGGCTAGATGGCAGCTTGTTTACCTTCAAGCCTTTAAGACCCCAAATGCTATGGCTTTACCACATTTGCTTATACATACATTTGTCTTCAGCAATCGTGTTGGGAAGGTGAGCATCATGGAATGCCAGTTTAATAGAACGAAGTGTTCTTACATGGAGGGAGTACTTGAGTAGAGGCCCAATGTCCATCTGCTACCTTAATACTAAACCTATAGATATATGCACATAGATCTATTCCCCATCATCATATATAAATATATTTATATATGTACACGCCTGTATGTAGACCTCTATAAATGCCCTTTGCCTCTTAGTTCTTTCCTCTATTTCGTTTTACCTTTCTCTTGTCCCACTATCATGCTCAGCCTTCATTTGGGTTTCAGTAATTCCTATTGGTTACATTACCCTCAATCAAGCCCCACCAGTCTTCTTATACTCTCCTTGCCACTGATTTTGAATCACTTGTTCCCTTGTCCTTGGGTTTGTTAATGCCACTTTCCCTTCCCCCACCCCCCCCTCCCACCTCGGTCCTGTTGTTTTCTCCTCCAGATTGTTTATCCAACCTATCTTATCTAGGTAGAACTGCAGAGATAACAATATGAACTAAAACAAGACAGAGCAAAACAAATCAACACAGAAAACAAAACAACTACAAAAAAACGACAAAAATAAAAGCCTGTAAATAGTTCAAGATCTGCTTGTTGACTCTTAGTCTGATGAGGTGCCACGCCCTGGCCCCAAGGTCTATTTTTGGTATTCCTTTGGGACCTCCTTGCTCCGCTCCCTGTGTTCTTCTGTTGCACGCCCTTAGTGTTTTGCCTTGCTGTGGTGGTGTCAGATCGGGCGCAATTCCCATATTGTCCCCAGTGTTGTCTCCTCTAGGGATATGGGTCATTGAAGGGTGTAGTGTCTTGTGGGGCCAGCCATATGGTGGTATCCCTTAATTTTAAAATACCCAAGTTTTTTTCTCAGACTGCTTCACAAAAGCTTTTCTTTAATCTCAACCCTTACTAGATGAGAATAAAATAGCTTAATTTTGGGTTCTTTTCCCCAATTCTTTCTATTTCTGGATTTCAGGTTGTTGGTGACGTTGCTGTGTTCATCAGCTTCTGCTTGTGCCTATCTTATGTATAACACCACGAACATTGAGCCGTTCCTTAGTTATATGATAGGTGAAAGTGTTTTTCATTACAGGCAGACCACCTTAGATTTTTTTTTCCTTAGTTAGAATTTAAGACAAACTTGTCTCTTGTGAAAATTAAATTTAGTATTATAGCAGATCCTGTAATGGTTAGCTGCCCTATAGTATACTTAAAATTAAGGGAAAAGTGTACCAAGAATTAAGATTTTGAAGAAAGCAGTATATTTTATATTATAATGTTTTAACTATATTATAATTATAAGCCCTCATATTTAAGGTTTAAAAATTTTTTCTAAACCCTAAAGTTGATTGTGATAAGAGTCGTATGAGCCTCCAATAAAATGATTAAAAAAAAAATCCAACAAAAAACCCCCCTAAAGTTAAGATAGGCACGCTCTAAGAAAAGTATCTCATTTTCTTTTGTTGAATTATATATTTAGATATGAATAATTGCAAAGCCAGAGTAAATTATAACTTCTGGTGATTAGTTTAGAAACTAATGAATGATTAGACTTACAGATTTATTACTCTCCTTTAGAGAATTAGAAATAAAGCTTTGGATTGTATGGATTTTTTTGTTTTTTAATAGGTGACACTTTTTCTGTACAATTTTCATGTTTTGGTTTTAATATCAAACCTAAGATCATTTATTGTCTGTTCTGTATTCAGGTTCGATTAGTGGTCGTGGATAGTATTGCTTTTCCTTTTCGTCATGACCTTGATGACCTATCCCTCCGAATCCGATTACTGAATGGCTTTGCCCAGCAGATGATCAGCCTTGCGAATAATCACAGATTAGCTGTAAGTATACTAGTCAAGAGAACTTTATAATGGATTCAGATTGAATAAAATATGACTGCCTAGAAATACAAGTGGGTAAAACACCGCCCCCCCAAAAAAAGTGGAAAAAAATTTCCCCCCAAGGCTATGCATTTAAATTGTTTCACAAAACAACCTTATCACCTTCAAAATACTCTCCATTACACTTACTACATTTGTCTAATCTGCAATTCCAGTTTTGGAAACATTTTCAAACTCATCTGATTGGATGTCTTAACAGCACCTCCCTTGTTTTTTCTTCACCTCTTCTACTTCGTCAAATTGCTGTCCTTTCATGTCCCTCTGCATTAGTGGAAACAAAAAGAAGTCACACAGTGAGGTCAGGTGAGTAAGGTGTGTGGGACAAGAGAGGCATGATGGTTGTTTTTTGTTTTTTGACAAAAACTGGCACACTGAGATGACTTCATGAGCAGTTGCATTGTCGTAGTGGCAAAACCAGTCCCCCATATGCCACAAATTAGGCCTTGTTTTATCACACACTGTTACGCTATCTTTTCAGAACCTCTAAATAGAAAGCTTGGTTAACAGTGTGACTCATCCGAATGAGTAGAATGAAGTACATTCTACTTGTAGAATGAAGTGCAAATGCACTATCCCCCTCATATCAAAAAACAAATGAGCATCGTCTTGATATTTGATTTCACTTGATGAGCTTTTTGGGGGAGAGGTGATGATGGCTGCTTCCACTGGCTTGATTGATGTTTGCTATCGGGGTTGTAAGAGTAGCACCATGTCTCATCACCAGCAATGACCTTGGGAAAAAGTCTGGGTCGATTCAGAGCTGTTCTTTCAAAGCACGGCGTGTTTCTACTCCTTGCTCTTTTTCCTGGTCAGTTGGAACACGAGGCAACAATTTTGCGGCGACCTTTCTCAATCCAAAATCTTCCATTAAAATTCACTGAACCGAGCTCTAAGACAGTCCAGATAACTTCCCCATCTCTTCAGTGGTTCATTTTCAGTGTTCGAGCACAAGTGCATGAATTTTGACATTTTTGTCTGGGAAGTTGATGAATGTCCAGAACAGGTTTGCCATCAATGGACATCTAATCCTTTTTGAAATGAGAAAACCACTTGTATACTTGAGTTTTTCTCCTAGCACTGTTCTTGTAAGCTGTGTTCAAAATCACAAGTTTCTATGGCGTTTTTTCCTAGGCAAGAAACAAAATTTCACAGCCGCATACTGTTCTCTTACATTAGGCATCACAAAAAATGAGGTTCGAATGAAACTGCTTTTGTGAAAAAATTCACTGTGACCAGAGAGAATCTTCCTGGGTGACACCACAGGGTGCACTAACTAACTCAGAGCGAGCGAGTTGCTCACCTATGGAAAAAAATGTTCTCAGTGTACCCCCTCATAGCTGAATAGAACTTGTCTAATAGAAAATAAATACAGATGTGCATTAAGGACTGCATGAAATATATCAGTTTTCCTGTGAAATAGTAAACATAATCAGTGTCATTCTATAAAATAAAGTTTGCATGATAAAGGAATGTCACCCTTAGTAATCACGTTTTCTTTGTCCAAATATGTGAATGCTTTCAGATAAGCTTTCTTCCACCATCCTGTTTTCCTTTTCCTCTGAGCCTTTTATTACTACCCTAGTGTGTAATCACAGACTCGGAGAGATTAAAAATTGCATGCCTTAAACAATCTAGGTGTTCTGATGTGGAGCTAATTCTTCTGGATATGAAATGTGAAGCAATGAAAAGGATTGACGCTAAAAAGTTACTTTAAAATGTTTTTAATTTTTTATTTTTTTACTGCCTGTTTACCATTTGCTTCCCATTCTGCAACTCCATCATTCCACTGACACAAATACACACCGATAGAGGAGAAATGAGGGGAAGTAAAATTGCTGTGCTTGATTTCTTCATCTTGGAGAGTCCTTAACACATAACTATAAGATTTCATAAGTAAATAAAGAGTTCCTTTAATAAAATGGTTTAAAAAGTATATTTTTTGGGAATTGGACTTCAGGCCCTATGCAGAAAAGCATAGTGAGTAGGCTCTGCCTTTGAGTGCTTTATTGTCGTTAATTTAGCATTCTGTTACTATCAATGAAGAGCTTCCAGTAGAGGGCACTCAAGACTAATGACTCGCATAATTCCTTGGGATTTTTGTTTGCTTGCTTGCTTGCTTGTCTTTATTTGAAACAGAAATAGCTTCATGTTTTCTAATTAAGAAAGTAATCAGTAACATTACATGATTACTGTAGTGGAATAATATGCAGTGGTCAAGAAAAGTGACACTATACATAGAATGTTATGGTACGAGATATATTCAGATGCACAATTAAATGAAACATTGAAGTTACATAGCAATGTATTTAGTCTGATTTCACTTTTGTGAAAAGAGAAAAAATTACATATATACCTTTATGTTGCTGTGTATGAAGAAAAAGTCTGAAAAGACCAGACATTAACAGTAGCTACTGCCTGTTACACATATGGTCTCCATGAGTCAGAGCCAACTTGGAGGCGACTAACAGCAAACACCTCTAAGGAAAGGATTTTTTGGGACTGGGGGCATCTGTCCTCTTATTACATTAAAAATTCTTTGCTTGATTCCCCCCGCCCTCCCCTCCAGTTAACATGTATAGTAATATATGTGGTTTTTTATAATACATAAAAAATTAAGTTATATAAGCTTGTTAAAAACCTAAACTATTCAGAAATATAGAATGTAAGCAACTAAATGCTTTATCCCCTGATTATTATTGAGCTTGATATAGCTATCTTTCCATGCATATAAAAACATACTTAATTTTTAAATGGTCATATGCATGCTGTTATGTAAAACTTTTTATTTATTTATTGTAAATGTATTTCCATGTACAGTGTTTATAAGGCTAACAGCCTTTTTAACAACCACCTAATATTCTATTGTATGATTGTAGCCTTTTTTTAAAAAAATCGTTTTATTAGGGGCTCATACAACTCTTATCACAATCCATACATACATCAATTGTGTAAAGCATATTTGTACATTCATTGCCCTCATCATTCTCAAAACATAAGCCCCTGGCATCAGCTCATTTTTCCCCCTCGCACCCCCCTCCCTCATGAACCCTTGACAATTTATAAATTATTATTTTGTCTTATCTTGCCCTGTCCGACGTTTCCCTTTACCCATTTTTCTGTTGTCCGTTCCCCTGGGAGGATGTCACATGTAGATTCTTGTAATTGGTTCCCCCTTTCTAACCCACGCTCCCTCTACCCTCCCAGTATGGCTACTCACACCACTGGTCCTGAAGGGATCATCCGCCCTGGATTCCCTGGATTTCCAGTATTTTTTCATGTCTTACACCGACTGATGTCTCCCTTCACCCACGTTTCTGTTGTCTGTGCCCCAGGGAGGGGGTTATCCGTAGATCCTTGTGATGATCGGTTTCCCCTTTCTCCTCCCTCCCTCCTCTTTCCCTTCCTGGTATCGCTACTCTCATTATTGTTCCTGAGGGGTTTATCTGTCCTGGATTCCCTGTGTTTCCCGCTCTTATCTGTACCCATGTACATGATCCGGTCTAGTTGGATTTGTAAGATAGAATTGGGATCATGATAATTGGGGTGGGGGGGGGGAAGCATTAAAGAACTAGAGGAAAGTTGGATGTTTCATCAGTGCTATACTGTGCTCTTACTGGCTTGTCTCTTCCTTGTGACCCTTCAGTAAAGGGAGGTCCATTTGCCTACAGATGGGCTTTGAGTCTCTACTCGGCACTCCCCCTCATTGACAATGATGGGATTTTTTTTTGGGTTCTTTGATGCCTGATTCCTGATCCCATCAACACCTGATGATCACACAGGCTGGTGGGCTTCTTCCATGTGAACTTTGTTGCTTCAGCTAGATGGCCATTTGTTTATCTTCAAGCCTTTAGGATCCCAGACACTCTGTCTTTTGATAGCTGGGCGCCATCAGCTTTCTTCACCATATTTGCTTATGCGCCCATTTTGTCTTAAGTGATCTTGTCTGGAAGGTGAGCATCATGTACTGCCAGGTTATTAGAACAAAGTGTTCTTGTATTGAGGAAGTACTTGAGTAGAGGCCCAATGTCCATGTTACCTTAAAAGTTATATATATTTATATATATGTATGTATGTATGTATGTACGTAGATCTATTTCCCTATCATTATATATAAATATATATATATATGTACATGTCTGTATTTAGACCTCTATAAATGCCCATTTGCCTCCTAGATCTTTCCTCTATTTCCTTTTACTTTTTTCTTGTCCCACTATCATGTTCGATCTTCATTTGGGTTTCAGTAATTCCTCTTGGTTACATTGCCCTTGATCAAGCCCAACCAGCAGCCTATGCCCTCCTGGCCATCAATTTTAGATCATGTTCCCTTGTCCCTGGGTTTGTTAACACCCACTTCCTTTCCCCCTGCCTCCCCTTTTCCCGGGTCCCTCCAAAACTTTGTTGGATTGTTTATCCCATTTATCTTATCTAGATAGACATTCAAAGACAATAATAAGCACAAAAACAAAACAGGGCAAAACCAAACAACAAAAGAAAAACTTATAAATAGTTCCAGGTCTGTTGGTTGACCTTTAGGAGTGTTTTCCAGTCCAGTCTGATGGGGTGCCATGCCCTGGTCTCAAAGCCTTATTTTTAGCATTCTCTGGGGACTTATTTTCTTTTCTCCCATTGTTGCATGCCACCTTACATTTTGACCCAGTGTGGTGGGGTCAGATCGGGCACAATTCCTGAACTGCGCTCTGAGGCTATCTTATGGAATATCCCTATCTAGAAAAAGTTGCAACCTTTGCAGTATAGTTCTGTGAAGGTTTTTTGTCAGCATACCTATAAATAACTAGGATTTACAATTGCCACTAGATCTTTTTGGTGAAATTGAGCATCTGTTACTTGTCTAAACCCACCTGGGTAGCCAGTATGTGAGGAATATACTTATTTTCCCCCTCTCCATTTGTTTTCAGGAAATCCAATGTGTCTTCTGT